CATGAAGCATGGGGGAGGCAGTGTAATGGTTTTGGGGTGTTTTTCTCTTGAGGCAACAGGAGATATTTTTTCAAAATAGATGGAATAATGGACCAGCACAAGTACCATCAAATATTGATCGATCATGGTATACCTAGTGGTTTGTGTATTATTGGTAAAGGATTCTACTACCAAGAAGATGATGACTCCAAACACTCATCCAACCTATGCAGAAATTACTTTGCTGAGAAAGAAGTTGCTGGAGGCATCAGAACGATGCAATGGTCCCCATGGAACCCCGATCTCAACCCAGTTGAGTAGATCTGGGATTTAATAAATCAAAAACTAGACAAATCAAAAGTTACTTCCAAAGAAACTTTATGGGAGTGTATTAGAGACATTTGGAGTAAAATTCCAAAGGACACTTAGATTAAATATGTTGCAACAATGCCTGAAAGACTGTCTGCAGTTATTAAAGCAAAAAGGAGACACACTAAATATGAAGATTAATAAAATTTTGATGTTTCAACTGTGATTTACCTTCCATTGTAATTTGAAAGTAGCCTGAAATATAATTTTTGATTTTGTTCTAACACTTTTGCACATTACTGTATGTAATGTATTATAACCAAATTGTGACTGGTCCACCAGCACAAAGCCAAGACAGGTCACTTTGTACAGACCAATTTTATACTGTTGGATACAGTAAAATGAGTGTATGTGCACTGTGTCATTAAAACTTCTGTAATGTTAGTCAGACATGGCTGAAAGGTCAATAAAAATTATATATATATACAACGTTAGGAGAATTAAGCTATTTAGACTAAACATTTGTGGTTTCGTATTATAATTTGTAGTTATTCTAGAATGAAAAAAGAGCAAAATTTTATCTATTTCCTAATTTTTTATGGTGATTACAAGGTCGGTCAAATCTACCAAACCCATACAGAGATACAATAGTGAAAATAACAGATAAAATATAACCTTTTTCGAAAAAAAACGTTTGATAATTATCTGGAGGTTATTATGAGGTTATTGAGATTTTGCATGTGGAATTTGACAATTTTCTGATGCATAAAAGTATTTTTAATCTTAATATCAAAATTGCTTTGCATGTTGGATAGTCAACATTAAAAAAAAACATGCACAAGCAAATTGTTACTTAAAAAATCTTAAAACTTAATAATAAAAAAATCTGATATTTTGTGTACAAAAGCCTTGTAATGTTTACTGATAATCTGCAAAATTTCATGATGATACACTTACTGTATAAAGTTATAGTATGAAAGCTATAACAAGCACAAAATGGTTATGAGGTCAGTTTCTGGGACCGAGCCCGTAGTAAGAGATTGAAAATAAAGAATTTTGTAACTTTATACTAGATTAAAGTTAAATAAATTTTCTTTGTGTTAGACTCTAGTACAGAAACCTATACAGATTCTACGGGGATTAATCTGCAGCAGTTCATCATTGAGACCTTGCACAAGAATCAGAAAGATCGTTTAACAATGTTGAAGATTGAACAGGAAATAATCAGTCTTATAAAAGATAGCAAGTAAGTAGTATTGTATATTAAATGGTCAATCATGTGTTTTTATTTATATATATATATATATATATGTGGAAAACAAGCATTGTTTCATGATATTCTTGTTATCTAAACATATGAAGTTTCTTTGTCATTCAGTTCATGTACACACACATACAATTATTGGAAAACTAGCATTGTTTCATGATATTCTTGTTATCTAAACATATTAAGTTTCTTTGTCTTTCAGTTCATGTACACACACGTACAATTATTGGAAAACTAGCATTGTTTCATGATATTCTTGTTATCTAAACATTAAGTTTCTTTGTCATTCAGTTCATGTACACACACGTACAATTATTGGAAAACTAGCATTGTTTCATGATATTCTTGTTATCTAAACATATTAAGTTTCTTTGTCTTTCAGTTCATGTACACACACGTACAATTATTGGAAAACTAGCATTGTTTCATGATATTCTTGTTATCTAAACATATTAAGTTTCTTTGTCTTTCAGTTCATGTACACACACGTACAATTATTGGAAAACTAGCATTGTTTCGTGACATCCTTGTTATCTAAACATATTAAGTTTCTTTGTCTTTCAGTTCTGGGCCTGCAACTTTAATAGTCCATATTCTGTTTTAAGTACTTCCTAAAATATGCTGAATTACAATTTATTGTTATGTTTAACCCTTTCACTGCCACTGTACACTATTATGAAACCTTTGAAATTTCATTCATAAAATTTAATAACTCAAAGTGTCCAACAGACAGACATTTCAATCATACATCACAATAACCATGGGAAATTTTGAAATACAAGTTAGATTTTTGTTTGGTAAATATAAAAATTACAATGAGAAAAAACATTATGCAGCATAATAAATGACTGATAGGTTACACAGATTCTGTTACTTTAAGATTTTTATGTATCTCTTTTCTTCTTACACTATCTAAAATATTGTTTATTACAAAAAATCATTAATTGTCCAGTAAAGAGACATTTATACAAGTTTTATGTATTTTCACAACACTGTAATTTGTTTGTTTATTTCATTCTAACAAACATATTCAAAAAAGTAATATATGTTTCATCATGCAGGAAGAAAGTTGTGAGCAGTTGTTATGAGTAATACATCATATGCTAGGCATTTTGTTAAAAGTAATGGGGCAATAAAATACCTTTTAAAGCATTAGAACTAATATAAATGTATAGTGTTTATGTTATTCAGTCCTGTACATAAAAGTTGTCATTGTCCTTACAACTGTTTCAGGTCTGTGCTATTTCCCCATTTGTGTATTTTTTAATTACTAATAGTTATCTTCACCATTATATGTTGAATTACCATAGTAAGATTTTTTTATGCAGAAATTAATTTACCAAAGCAATTACATAAACAAAATAAACACACACAAACAAACAATACAAAACTGTTAAAAAGTTATTATTTCAAACAGCATCTAAAAAACCCTCATTATGTACTAACAAAAAAGTTTGGAAATTTCCATTCCAGATAAGAAAGGCAGTTCTATGGGCAAGAGATTGTTAGAAAGAAAATAATCGAAGGTTTCAGATGGCATATATATGATTTTGACAACTTTAAAAACAAGAAATTTATAACAAACACTATGTGGATATTTAATCTTACAGTTCTTGACATCACCAACTTCAAAAATTCACTGTTTTTAAACTATCCTATCTAAAAGTAAACTTTAGGTTTGTTCTAAATCTGTGCATTTCTAGTCTTGTGTTTGATGTTTTGATAAGTTGTCTGTGCAGACAGAAAATTAATTTTCTTACCTGACTCGAATATAAAATTTCAAAAGGAGGATAAATATCAACAATTAGGGCTATAGAATCAAAACAAATATTAATAAAACTTAATCAAATGAAAGTTAACATCTCAACATTTCAGTTAAAAATTTATTTTGTAGAAAAATTGTGAGGTATGTGTCACAAATAATTTTTTTTAAAGTTTGATATGTAACATTTTCTCTGAGGGACCTGGAATACCCAGGCTAGAAAGGGTTAATTAACAATTGTAGTATTAAAACTGGATTTAACATTATAGTTTGAAAAATAATTTGATAAAAGCTGAGCTGTGTACAGTAGTTATTGTTTCTTACCACGCTAGATTTCAGACTTGAATAGCCAAAGTGGGTGCTCATGCATGCTTTATTTGTATGATTTTTAGTACTAAATAAGGTTTTAAGCATAAAATGATAAATAATAGCATGTTTTAGGATATAAGGTTTACTACACAAGAGTTATTAACGAAAAAAAAGTGAAATGTTTCTTTAAACACTTTTCTGCAAAAATGACTGAGTTACAATCAAAATTTAATTAAACATCTTTATTATCAATGTATATTAATAAAATTAACATTATAATGTATGTATTGTTGCACAAGTGAAATTCCCATACAGCCCTTCCGCAAATTGCAGCCGCTTGTGCCGAAAGGGTTAAACTAATTTATTGTTTTTCACAAATTCCATTTCTTGTGTTTTTATTCAGTTGTTTGTACTCTTAAGAAAAATAAATTATAGCTTTTGGTTGTTTTATATGTCACAGGGAGATCTTAATGCTTTTGTAATGTGTAGGAGACAGTCTTTCAAGTTTCCCCATATGAGCTCATATCACCGGATGCTAGTCCACCGTGTTGCTGCATACTTTGGATTAGACCATAATGTAGACCAGAATGGAACTGCTGTCATTGTAAATAAAACAAAAAACACACGATTGTGAGTAATTTATGTTTCAAAATATTTTCTCTGCTGATTAAATGATAGACCATACTTTACTGAAACCTAGAATCAGAACTTGTGTATTTTATACTTTTGTGCAAATGTGTGAAATTTTTAACAACTGTTTGAAAAATGGAAAGCCTTATTGAACCATTAAATCAAATTATATATATTTTACAATACAAAATACACCCCCCCCAAAAAAAAGTCTGGTGTCTACTGTATGCTGTTTTTATAACACGATTTTCCATGTCAGTTAACACTAATGTAAGATACAGAGCAAATTTTGTCATTTATCCCAAATTATGATTGGAATACTCTGTAGCATTCACAAAAAAGCACTGGTTTTATTGAAGTTTGTGGTAACTGTTAATATTAATAAAGGCCTGGCATGGCCAGGTGGTTAGGGCACTTGACTCGCAATCTGTGGGTCGTGGGTTTCAATCCCTGTCCCACCAAACATGCTCGCCCTTTCAACCGTGGGGGCATTATAATGTGACGGTCAATCCAACTATTCGTTAGTAAAAGAGTAGCCCAAGAGTTGGCAGTGGGTGGTGATGACTAGCTGCCTGCCCTCTAGTCTTACACTGCAACATTAGGGATGGCTAGTGCAGATAGCCCTCGTGTAGCTTTGCGCGAAATTCAAAAACAAACAAACAAACAATATTAATAGATGAGTGAAATAAATTAAACATTTCCACATTTTTTTTACTAAATGATTCTTCTGTTGCTAGAAGTCTGCATATTAAAATTGAGATTTTTTAGGTTTATTTTTTTAAATTTAAGAATATCATTCTATTACTTATAATTTTTCACTATAGTACAGAGTGAAAATAAACTTCTAGCCACCACAAACCCTCCAAGCTAATATGCAAGTACATATCTAACAGTAAATTTATTTAGTATTCACATAACTTGAATTTTGCATTGAAAAACTTAACTTTTATATGGTCATTGTCATCTTTTATCTTATAATAACTTTGTGGTGGAAACACCAACATTTTTATTGAGGTGGAGAGACCAGTAACTACTTTATCATAAACCTTCCTGTTATACCCAATTTGAATGTTTGTCTAGTGTTGTGAGAGAAATTTCATTGTATAGTGCTATGTTTAGTAAGCAGTACAACTTATTTTTATTATTTAAATATACATAATGAGGTAGTTGTTTGAACCTACTAATAGGCTTTTTTTGTCTCCAATTGCAACATCTAAATACTGTACGTAATATTTGTGTGTTTGATTAATAAAATTTTTAAGATAAGTTTTTTGAATTTAAGTTCGTATTGTTTTTGGTTAAAATGTCATTTCACTGTTTACCGAAATTTAAATGCAAATAAAAACTTGCTTTTTAATAATGAAATTATTTGCAATAATAAAAAAAAAAAAAAAAAAAAAAAAATGGAAAAATTATTTAAGCTTACTGGTGAATGTTGTTAAAAGTGATTAAAAGTATTATTGTTCTTTGTGGTTATTTTTTGTACAGTGTAATGCAGGAGCTAAGTTGATTTGATTTTTTCTTGGTAAATGCAATTTGAAAATTAAAATGACAGTTTTAATTAATTTGTACTGTATGATTTATTTACAGACCTGAGACAAAATTTAATGATCTTATACATGATGAACTTGTACCAGATGAGCCAAAGAAATTAATTCTTAAGCGTGATAGTGTATGTTTTGAAGATGGAAAAGAGGTATAAAAACTGCCCTTTCATTTACTTAAACATTTCTTAGAAAAATTGTAAAGTTTTGTGTTTGCTTATTCTTTATTCTCATTGGAAGGAAATTATGTTTTGTTGCATTGATTTCTTGATATTGTTGTCCCATGTTTTAAATTATTGTAGTCATTCTTGGAAAAGCTCTGTTGGTGGTGCCTGCTGTTCATAAAAGTTGAAACTGTAGTTATTGAGTTCTTTGTTAATTAATCAATGCATTAATTATAGGTAGTACCATTTTTGTAGTCTAAGAAATGTGAAGGCTGTGCATTTTTGATTAGTCTCACTAATATTGTTATTTAATATAGATTAATATTGTGCGTATGACTAGAGCTGTGTGATTAACTTAATCAATATAATTGATAACCTGTGAGTATTGATTACATTGATTAGTGTCAGGTAGGATAACTTATTAATCAAAGTTATGATTAAATGCATTAATGTTAAGAAAATAATTAATAATTGTTTCTGATTATTACTGTTTTAGATTATTCCAACTATCCAGAAACCAAAATTATGACTAAATCAATTAATTTTAGGAAAATAATCAACTAATTGAAATTAGTGTTTCCAATTATTCCTCTCTCCATATCGTGAGAATAATTGATTACTTGAATGTAATCAATCAAACTGATGATTAATTGATTAACAAATTCCACTAATAGTCCAGCTCTATAGAGTATCACTTAAGTTTCATTTTCATTACTTATGTAAGTGAGTTGTGTGATATACCTACCATTATTTCTTATTTAGTACTTCTATTCAACGTATGTTAATTCTATAGATAAGACAGAATTAGACTAATCTGTGTTTTGTTGCATTGATTTCTTGATATTGTTGTCCTATGTTATAAATTGTTGTATTCATTCAGGGAAAAGCTCTGTTGCTATTCATAAAAGTACTAGTGCTACAGATGTGACAGAATTACACTAATAATTCAGTCACATTGTTTGTTTAATATTTAGAATCCATGGAGATTAATAGTATGGATGTAAAAGAGTCTCACTATGTGTTTGATACTTTTAATCTATTTCGATCACTTGTATTGATGTGACAGTCCTACTGTATGTTTAATATTTATATTTAAACCTGATCTGTGGCATGACATAGTTCTGTTTTTTTTATTATTCATAATCCATTTTAGATTAGTTGTAAAGATGTGACATTCATGATGTTCGTTTAACATTTTTTATATATGAGATGTCCCAGAAGTTGGTTGCTATGAGCTGAATATCTAAACATGTGCAATCCAAGTCACCTCCACACTTTCATAAATGCTCAGTGCCATTATCTAAACAATTTGCAAAAAAAATGAAGAAAAACAATGTTACTTTCCTCAGTGTTTTACAATAACATTTGATCTTTGGAACATCCTGTATTTAAGTTTGTGGATATGTGCAGTCCAACTATATTTTAAATCTGTTTAGATTAGTTGTGTGGATATTAAAGAAGCTGACATGAAACCTTGTATAGGAAGAAGAAAATCAACATGATTTTGTTATATGTTAATTAATTTCTGTTTGTATGATTTATTGTCACTAGTTAACTTAAAATAAGAAGATTCTAATTAGCTGATAATGATATGATAATATTTCTTCAAATTTGAATATTTGATATATTAGTAACAACATTTTGTTTGATTGTATCATGTAATATTACTACAGAGATGTGTGTGTGTTCAGCACTTAATTTTTAAGGTATGTTTTGGTAGTAGCCATATTTAGTTAAACTATTGAAGGTGAATTGTTTTGCATTAACATTTTTGCCACGAGCATCTTTTTCTGCACATGTCACAAGGTTTTAGTGAGTTATATTCAAAATTTAATTAAAGTATTTTCTTATCATGGTATACAGATAAATTTGGCATAAAAATGTAGCTAATAATCCAAATTTTATGATGGGAATATCAGACACAGTTCAAAGGCAATAAAACAATAAAATTTAAGTATAAACAGATGTATAATGTTAGAGTTTAAAGCTATTTAGGACAGACAAATGTAGTTTCATGTTATAATTTGAAGTCATTTTAGAATAAAAAAAGGTAATTTAAGATTTTTTTGTCTGGTGGTTATGAGTTCGGTCAAATTGACCAACCTTGAAAAGAGTAGAGAAAATAACAGGTAAAATATAAAGTTTTACTAAAAAGAAACATTTGAAATTTATTTAGGAGGTCTTAGAGATTTCTCAGATGAAGAAAAGTATTTTCAACCTTAACATGCAAATCACTTTACACTCGGAGCAGTCAACACTTCATTAAAAATTCTTATTTTTTGTTTGCTAATGAGTTTTGATGATTTCTCAAAGCTTGTGAAATTTCATGAGATACACAAAATATATTAGAAACTATAGTATGGAAACTATAAAGGTCAATTTGGTGGGTTCACAAACTTAGTTGATTCGACTGAACTCTGTTGTGAGAGAATTAAATTAGTTTTGGAAGGATCATGTAAAAGTTATAGATTACATGATGTTAAAGATATTAAGAATTTTGTATTTCTATTATGACTAATTTTTAAACATTTTGCAATGTAAATGTAATTTCTATTAAGTTGATTCAAAAGAAAAGTAATTATATTTTTATTTTATTTAACCTTTCACATTAAATACTAGAAGAGCCCAGAGAGACAGTCATCAGTAGATAGCAGAAAAAGCAAATCAATTGAAGAAAGAGAAGAAGAATATGAAAAAGCAAGAGCAAGAATATTCAACCAAGATGTACGTAGTATAAATTGGTTTGTAAATCATTATGTATTCAACCAAGATGTACGTAGTGTAAATTTGTTTGTAAATCATTATGTATTCAACCAAGATGTACGTAGTGTAAATTGGTTTGTAAATCATTATGTATTCAACCAAGATGTACGTAGTGTAAATTTGTTTGTAAATCATTATGTATTCAACCAAGATGTATGTAGTGTAAATTGGTTTGTAAATCATTATGTATTCAACCAAGATGTACGTAGTGTAAATTGGTTTGTAAATCATTATGTATTCAACCAAGATGTACGTAGTGTAAATTGGTTTGTAAATCATTATGTATTCAACCAAGATGTACGTAGTGTAAATTGGTTTGTAAATCATTATGTAGGATTGGGGGTGGATTTATTTTTTGTCTTTTAATAATCCTCAAACTTGATTATGTAGTTTCAAGCAAAAAAATTTATTTTGTGTTCTTTAAGTTTAATAGTTGAAAAAAATTGTGTAATAATATAAAATCCCTGTATTAGAATGTGTGTTTCATATAAAGCATGCAATCTTCCTTTTTTGGACTTCTGAAGCTATTCTGTTGGCTGATACATTATTAGAAATTATTTTGATACTCCCAAATTGAAATCCAAGAATGTTGTTTAAAAAAGTTTTAAAAAATCAGCTTTATTTGTGACATGTTAAAACAAAAGGCCTATTATAGCATTCTAATGCTAAACATATATAAATTGTTTGCAAATGTTGGGTGTAGCTATAGTGTTAAGTTACATTTCACCAATTCAGCATTTTGTTATTTGATCATGAAAGTAAATATTCATAGTAATTAAATAGTAGATATGCATTATTTCTTTATCCAAGACTGATTTTAATAAAATTTATATCAAAATTCTATATTTGAACACTTCAGTTATTTTATTTTGTAAATGATTTGGGGTGTGTGTGTGTGTTTTATCATAAGTGATCTAGTTGGAATGGGTCAAATTAAAGTCTTTCTTGCTGACAATTTACAGCAGAGATTTAAGTGTTGATTTTGTGGTATTTTTATTTGCATAAGATGTAAAATTATCATCAATTGTGATATTGAGTAATAGTTTATAAAGTATTGCTGCTGGATGTGATTTGTTTATAAAGATGTTTTTTTTAATGTAAATTTTGATAGTACAATGATGAAGGGTATTAAACATATAGCTTCATTTTTAGTCTTGTTCTTCACTGGATGGGAATGTTGAACTTCTTGTGGCTCCCTTTCAAGATGGATTGCCAAACTCTAGCTTGCGAAGTAGCCAAGAAGATCTATGCATTTTGGGAGTTGATTCTCGGCCATGGAGTAGCACTGATTCTGATAGCTCTGGTCGTCCTATTAATCAGGTTATAAAATTTGGTATTGCTAGTGAACTTGACATATTGTATGCATTATAGCTGTTTCACCAAAATTAACATAAAGGCTTGAAAAGTAGAGTTTAATTAGAAAAACGTTTAAATATAAAAATATGGCTTGGCTGTTATGTTGCCCTTGGTAGCTCTGTCTTCTAAAATTTTGGGTTTGGTCCTTGTGGTGGCATAGCGTATATAGCCCACTGTGTAATTTAGAGCTTAAACAAAAGCAAGGTAATTTATTTTCACGAACTTAGAAGTAACCATATTGGTTTTTCAGTAATTATTTTACTGAAAGGAAAAGTCTTGAGTTTTAATAATAATAATAATCATGTTTGTAGCGAAAAAGTCTACTTGATTTGGGAATCCCATCTGCATTTAATTAAACCTTAGTTACTAATTTTTAAATTATCTACATATAATCCATGGTTATTTTGCAGTATATTGTATAGTTTTTTTATTCCTTCTTTTTTTTTTTTTTCTCAGAAGTATTACTTGTGTCAGTGATTAGTAATTATTTGATCTCTCTTTTGTTTTTGTTTTTTATAGGATGTTGGTCAAACTGGAAATAAAAGTCAAGGCATTATTCTTTTAACAAAGTCAGAGTCTGAAGGTAAAGAACTTCTTGCACCAAATCGAGATAACAAACCACTAATTACTAAAGCTAGTAGCTTTGCAGGAATATCTGTTCTGACTCGGGACAAGCCTACAGATAAACGATCATCCCCGAAACTGACCAAATCAGGTGTGTGATCAATTATGTGTGGAATTAGTTATGAACTTAAATTAATGTGTATATCATCAATATATATATTGTCTAGTATTTCCTAAAGTTTTTGGTTCAAAGTCAATATAAGAAGCTCACAGAAGATAAAAATTTAATTTTTATAAAGTATAAAGTGAAATGATTTTTACATAATTTTTGTAGTATATTATATAATCCACTATTTTTTCCTAATCTTTAGAAGATTTTCTTGTATTTTTTATTCAAATACGAAATAACCATTCTAGAATCCTTGAATGTGACCAACTTGATAGGACAGCATATATCAAATGGCACTGGTTGTGCCTCTGCTGTTGTATCTTCTTGTCAGGGATCACCTGGTCTAACGTCTTCAACTCCAATTACTTGTCAAGGAATGTCAGTCTACACTGTAGTGGCTTCCGGCATTCCTGCATCAGTAGTTCCCCAAGTATTGAACACCCAGACAATGACAGCTCAGAAGGTTTGTTAAATTTGTCTTCTTTTGTAAATCTGTTTTTAAAATTAACTATATGATGAACCTTCTGATATAAAAAGGATGCAATAACTGGTGTATCTTGGAATGTAGATTTTTAGTTTAAAAATATATGCTTATGTTTCTTGGATAAATGACTTGAATTGAGAAGCCTAATAAAGGTGTGAGAAAACAAGAGTTTTTACAAAACATTAATTGCTTATTAATTACACAACTTTTATTCATGGTCATCAGTTTAAATGTTTTCTACATTTTTCAGCTACAGCTTCATATACTTAAAATATTGGCAGTTTTGTGGTTGCTGAGAGATAATTACTAACATTAAGAATATTTCATCAGCTTTTAGAATTTTCATAAATTGTGGTAACTTTAAAAGATGAATTTGATTTTGTGCTGTGTTTATATATATGTTTATATAACAGGTATCTAGTCAACCTGCATGGCTAGCAGATGGTAAGGATCAAACTGTATCAAACTTATGTCATCCTCCTGTGTGGTCTGTTTCCACTGAATCTGTTGTTTCTGGCAATGTTGTCATCAGTGCTCAGCCTGGTAAGTAAAGCTGGGGAGTTAATGTTTGTATAATGTTCACACAGATATATTAAAGAAATAAAACCAACATTTAATACATCTGTGTGAAAACTTACACAAGTATCATTCTACTCTTAATTTGTATATGTTAATAAATTGTTTTAATTTAAATGTATCTTTAGGTCTGTGCCTTATGATTATTCCTGTAGATGAAGATTATTACATTGAATAACCAATCAGTTGGATGAATTTCAGGACCATCAATAAAATATCATGAACCAAGATAGTAGTTCATAATAGGGCTTGCACAGGAATTTGCTCAAAACTCTTAAAAGAAATTTAGGAAAAACAACACTTCTGGAAACAACACTCAAAACCTTCCTTTTCAATAGTTAAGACTACCCAAACATTGATAATAAGCAAAATATGTGATTTCATGATTGTTAGACAAAATAGATAGATTAGATAGGTTATAGATACATAATAGATGTGATGATGTTCTGAGCTGCTGCTTTTTTACTCAGTGAATGTTAAACATGTTTACATGAAACCTCAGACATAAAGCTACCTGGTTATGGATACATAATAGATGTGATGATGTTCTGAGCTGCTGCTTTTTTACTCGGTGAATGTTAAACATGTTTACACGAAACCTCAGACATAAAGCTATCTGGTTTTGGATACATAATAGATGTGATGATGTTCTGAGTGACTGCTTTTTTACTCAGTGAATGTTAAACATGTATACACGAAACCTCAGACATAAAGCTACCTGGTTATGGATACATAATAGATGTGATGATGTTCTGAGCTGCTGCATCTTTACTCAATGCGTGTTAATCGTGTTTACACAAAATCTCAGGGATAAAGCTACCTGGCTCAGTAAATAATTACTTTAAAAGACACAAACTTTATTTAAAGCAATGTTTTAAATGTATTTGTTTTATTTGAAAAGGTTGCTCTTCTACTGGTAAAGTTTTATACGTGCTTAATGGGGGTTGTGTCTTACTCTTGGCATATGTTTGCCTATTGTTGTGCATTAGAAAAGCCAACATACAAGATAATTGAAAATTGAGAATTTAAAGTTGACAAATGGGGATTGCAAAAAAAAGTAAGCAAACAAGGCTGGAGATCTACTGCTGATAGTTTGTTCAAGCTTCAAATCTCTATTATGACTCCACTATAAAATTATTGCAAGTAATGTCTACTGTAGTGTGGAATCGCACGGGAATTTAGCAAAAAAAACTGAGAGAGTACTTTTAAATTTAATTTAACCTCCTTAATTTTATTGTGCTGCATAATTTTCTAAGTCCTTCACTTTCCACCATAAAAAAATCTGGTGTTTTCCTAGCGTGTGTATTTGTTGGGATCTACAACTCCTGCATTTTCTAGCACATTAATTGGAAACTGCCACATGAAAGGTTCCTGATTTTGCTGTTGGATATCATAACTCAAGTATGCTGTCCTTTGTTGTTTTCCATGACTATATTTCATCAAAATTTAACAGTGGATGATTACCATAGTAAATTTCCCTACTCAGACATGGTGGTGATTCTGCTGTTTCTTATACTTTGCTGACATCATGAGTTTGTATTTATTACCATTGTTTCATATAGCTATTGCTATTTTTAAATAGTTGGTGTTAAGGTTGTGGTTATAAATGCTGTCAATAATTGGCGACTTGCACTAAGCGTGTTGCTGTTGTCTATTATACATGCACTATTTGTGCCGACTTATTCCAGCAAACACATGTGCGCAACAGGCTGTTGAAGAATATACATATGTGTTATGTAGACCTAACAAGGTAAGCATGTTGAGTCTGTTTACATTGCATTAACCCATGACACATATGGATAGGCCATGTCATCCCGTTTGTCGACTTGCATTCATAATTTTATTGAACTAATATTTCATGAATTTATGTCAATAAGTTTGGTATCAAATTGTGGATTATAATTCAAATTTTAGTATTATACATTACTCAATTTCTTAATTTAAAAGTAAATATTAAATAAACGGTTAAACATCGATTTTTTGTGTGGCACATGATATATTGAATGCAGCACTATAGTTCTGTATGAATTAGGAACTTAAATTCCCGATATTGACAAACTAGAATATAAAATAAGAACCTCTTTTCTATTTGCTAAGATATTGCTCATGTAATAAATCATAGTGGCACCCTGACCACCTCTTTCCATTTTTGAAAATGTTTCCTTATATACACTTATATATATGACATAAATAACCAATCAAAAGCTCAGAATGTCCCTCTAGTAGCTTTCTCAGCCATTTTAATGTGTTTGGATGCCATCTCTTTCTTTCGAACCAAGATTTCAAGGAGGTAGGTTGTGTCTGTAGTCTGCTCGAAATTTCATGTATTTTTTTAGACTGAAATACAGCGACTGAGTCCGTACTGAAAGAGTTAATGTGTGTTGTATTATCTTAGAAGAAACATTATTCTGTTCTGATGAGATTGTTTTGTTGCTGCTTGTCTTTTGTTACATTATACTGTGACACTGAGAGGTTCCTTTGAGAACAATTTTACATTTTATGTTGTAGTTGCATATCAGTACATGTGTTTATTCTTTTTTGTACTTTTGTTATTTATTGAAAAAGTTCAGTGTGATGGTTGGGTGGAAAAAAAAAAGTCAATGCAGTAGTAAACTGTTGAAAAACATGTAACATTTAACTGAATGCATATGCACATATATAACTTAAACTTTATTCTCCTTAAATGGACATAAAAAAACTTCAAAAGGGAGAATAGGGATTGTCAAAAAGTACAGAAAAAAGTTGAATCAAAATGCAAAGATTATATTTTAAAGCCTACAATTATGGACTCTTAAAAAAAAAAAAAAAAAAAGTGAACAAACAAGGCTGAAAATAGTGTCTACATTATTTTCTTTAGTTTGCTATTTCATTCAAATTAATAAATTAGTTATGCTGTATTTCATTCAGTTACTAAATCTGCTTATATTTTTTCTTACAAGAAATAAAGTTCAAAAAGGAATATAAAACAAATTACATATAATTTAGTTGTTTTGTTCCATGACGTCTTTAGTAGCATGGCTAATACTGCAAGCATCCACCAAGATTTCAGTGCTCAAGCCACCAGACTGGATCTACTGTATTGTAATTTACTTATATAGGCAATTTATTAGATTACATAGATATTACGAGGATATTAAGCATTTTTGAATGCTAAAAGAGGATAAATCCAATCATTTTCATTTCTCTTTGTTTTTTTGGAGAAGGGGATTTTTCTTTTATCAAGTAGTGCTTTTTTCAGTAGTTCAGCTTTATTTCACATGTGGTGCATTATACGAATAAAACAAAAATGGTTCCTCAAAAGAAATGATTGGATATTTAGGCATGTGTGGCCACTATTGTTACAGTATTAACCCTGTGGAAATGATGCTGGTGTTTACCACCAAAATCTCTCTTTTGTGAATCTATACATGGAAATGTTTACTAATAAAATAGATGAAGACCCAAAACATTTTATTTACAAGGTTTGAATGTTTCAGAATACTTATTCCATCTTCAGTGAAATCTTAAAGTAATCTTACAAAGATATTTATTAGCTAATGCTAGAGTATCATTATTAAATAGCTTACTTAGTTATTGAGTAAAGTGGTAAATGGAAGAAAAAAGGATTATAGAATATGTTATGAAATAGCTGTGTTTTAACTGTACAAATATAGAATAATTTTACATCTAAAGAGGTTTGTAAGTTGTTAAGAGTAGGGCAGTCTTTAGCTATGAATAAAATTTCTTTAATGTAGAGTTCAAGGTATGAAGATCCTGTAGTAACAATAGAGAAATCTTTATATGAAAGTGTGTTATTTCAACCTGTTAACGAATGGATGATTGTCTTTGTTTTAGTAATGGATGGTCGGTTCTGTTTGATACTCCTAAATGTTCACAGGCTCTAGTTTTTAAGTGCTATCCAGTTTAGCCAATGTACTTGATCTTGCAGTCACTAGATGTATACTTATACACAAGCCATATTACCAGAATACTGGTATGATTAACGGTTATGGCAGTCCTTTGGGATGATTGAATTAAATTATGTGAGGTAGCATATTTCTGATGTTGTGATCTTGGTCAGTATTTATAGGATCATCATTTTCAAAAGTAATCTTGACTTTAATCTTGTAACTCCTTTTTTTTTGTGTGTTCTAGGAAGCTACACTAAAGAAAGTTATATTATGTTAAAGTGCATTACATATATATTATAAATGCTGTGCATTATTTTTTATCATTTTGTCTTGTTAGTTGTATCCACAGGTGGAAACTTGTATGTGTTTTTGTTATATATAAACACACACATATATTTTTTGGAATTTTATCTGAAGGTGTACAACAATCTGTTCCTGTCAATGGAAATCTACCATGTCCACCAATCCAGTCTCAGGTCTGCCAACAACAGCCTCAACAGTTCCATGGTACACTAGCTCCAGCTTTTATTTATATGCCATACATCCCACATTTGACCCCAGTGCAAGGGACTTCACAACAAGGCCCTCTATCTGGCACAGATCAAAGAACAGTGAATTCAGTAAGGACATTATATTCCCAGTTCTGAAAATTGTTTTTCATTAGTTTCTTTAACCTTAAAGTTAGAGACTTGTTTTTATACTATTTACAAGCTGTGAGGTCCACATGTTGTATCATATTGAGTAATTTTATGTTTTTGCTTGTTCAACATTTATTGTAAGGAATTGATGAAATAAACTGGATGAAATAATTCATTTCTGTTTAAAATACATAGGGGATCCAGTAGTAATTAGTGGGAGTTATTGCAATGTTGACGGCATTTTGTTTACATATTTTTTGTCTATGCCTTGTATATTACTAGGTACCGTGTAACAAAATTGGGAACTCTCAAACAGTTTTGTAAATAAATAATTTAAAAGAAATGTATCTAGTAATACAAGGGTTAAAAAGAGAAATGAAAATTGATATTTTAATTATGAGATAGAAATTAAATTTTTGGACTAATTTGTGTTCTATTACATTTTACCTCAGAATCTAGGGACAAATGGAGTTACTGACCTCAGTAGTCAGATGTCAGCTTTAGGTTTTACAGCATCTCAGCAGCAATCGCAAGATGTGACTGGAGCAAGTCAGGGAACTGAACCAGTTCCAACATCTACGGCCTCTTCAGTTCTAGGATCCCAAGGTTACGTTGTGACACCAGTAAGGCCTCAAGCTAAGCAACCTGTAAGTGTGTGTATATATATACTCTACTACTAGAAATTACACCAGAAAGGAAGTTGGTAACAGAATGTCATGTTTTCAAATGGGGAACTAATATCCTTTGTCAGATTTTGTTTTATCAACAGATTGTGCATTTTTATTTCAAGAAGTTTGTGAAAAAACAGGACATTTTTTTTGTTTCTAATAGGGTCCAGTATATTACATTCACCAGCACACATCATCCTTAACTCCAGCTCATCCAATAAGGTACATTTATCCAGTGATGCACTTTCTCCAGCAGCCATCAACGGTCATATCTGGAAATGTACCACTTGGTGCTCAGAATCTAGAAAATCAGGGTCTTCTGGGTCTTTCAGGTTAGTGGTGTTAAACCAGTAGTAAACTTTTGTTGGAAATTTATCTTGGCGTAGTGAACAAAATATTCCCTATCATCCAAGAGAAAGAATGATTATTAGGAATTATATGTTGTTAACTCTATAGCTATGGGTAAGTCAAAATGTAGTGGGTCACAATCTTTTACAGAGTTACATTCAATATTTAATTAAATACTTTATTATTGAGATTTTCAAATATATTTGGCATTGAGAATTAGTTAATAAATCAAATTTTGATATTATATAAGGTTTAATTTCCTTAATTTTAAAAGGAAATATTTAAATTAATCTTCAATCTGCCCTTGTATGACATTTGTTTTCTAGGTCTTGCCCATTCTCTAATTTATTTACCAACTTTCTTTGAAGTACAGAATTTAATGTAGATTACTCATCATAACATAGATGTTAATAAGACAAAGTTTAATTCTTATATCTTTCAGTCTTCTTTGTTTACATACAAATTAGATAGTCAGGCCTACTTGCCACACTTGTCTATCACATCCTCTCTTTCATAAATTGCCAGTAATTCTCTCTGACGTTTTATATCATTTATAAACAATAGAAAGATAAAGTTTTAACGTGTCAAATGATTATATTGTTTTCATTACAGAGAATTGACAATTTTAAAGTTATCTCGCAATGTTCAGAACGAGCAGCTAAGGGAATTATTTTAAGGCTTTTATGTCTTAGTTAGAAAGCCAATTCAATTATAATAGTTATAGGACATTGTTTGCTTTGGTATGTTATTATTCTATGTTCTTAGGTGCATACTTTGAAAAAATAAAAATATGTATTTGTGCCATCATTACAAAAAAAAAAAGTTGGCTTAAATATCATTAGCAAGACAGTAAAAATATGACATTGAACTTAAGTACTATATTTCTTGTTTTTCAAGTATATTTTTTATTTATTGTCATAAAAGTAATTAAAATGTAAAAAATAGAAACTTAATAGGTTAGATTAGGTAAGATAATGAAAAATAATAATAATTCTTCACAAGGTATGCTCCTGAGTAGTTCGTGTGTTACATCATTCAGTACAGTAACTTGAGCTACGTGTTCACAGAGTGATTTACAACTTGTATGGCAAGATTATTAGTTAGATGTGGTTCATTTAAGGAAGATAAACTCCCATTTTATATACTAACTTGTACAAGTGTTTTAACCCATTCTTGAAATAAATATGATCCCCACTCCAAAATAGCATGACAGGGAAACATGTACAAGCAATTTTAAGCCTTAGAAAACCATTGTTGTGTTTTGTTTTTTTATCTTTGACTAAGCTAGAGACTTAGACAAGTTTTGTGACCTTTCTATATCCAAGCCTCTTATGACAGAAAGAGGTGGTCAGATAAATTTAGTGCTTTATTCATGTGTTATGTACAATTAAATGAATAACATCTCTTTAGGTTTGTCTTTCAGTACATCTTTACGTGTGCAGAAACTTCAATTGTGGATTTTTATCTAAATGTATTAGTACTATAATAATAATAATAGTGCTTTTTATGTGATTTAGTAATACTGAAGTAATGTTCTTTATTTTTATTGTGGGAGAAGTAATATTTTATTGATATATTAACTTATGAAAATATGGTTCTATATATCCTCATAGTTGTCATGGAAGATTGTATTTTATTAAGGTTTTGTTTTTATTCTCTTAACCAGTACAAGACAGTAATTCTTACTTGATTAAAATTTTGAATTTTAAACACTCACTAGCAAATAACCAGAAAACAAATTGTAAGCACGTATTTTAGTGTCTGCTTATTATGAAAGGTATTTTATTGAACAACACGAAGGACAATCAATGGTTTTATGGTATTTGTTAGAGCATTATGTGGAAGTCATCTTCACCAGTAATCTTGCTGTACTAGTTACACAGTAGTATGGCCATTCAATGTAACATAAGGTTCCACCTACAACAAGATGTTGCTGATAATTGTGTAATGTTAATCATGTTATTTAATAAAAAAAGGTCAACAAATAAAGATGCTTTTGTAAAGCTGTCAAAACAAAAGTGTTTGTTGCACAGTTACCATTTACTATAAGAGATTACCAACAAAGTGCTCTAGATCTTGACCTTAATTTTTATAAACTAAATTCTCTAGGAAGTAAGTTATTTGTTACAATGGAATGCTGTACCAGTGGTTAATATCACTTGACTGTCTTAAGTCTCAGTGGCTTTTTTGACTTGGATAATATACTTTGACCTTCCCACATTGATTATTCTGCTAGACTGTGATCAGAGGTTCCCACCTTGTTGCAAAGTCTCAATGGCTTTTTGACTTGGGTAATTTACTTTGACCTTGCCACAGTAAATTTATCTGCCAGACTGTGGTCAGAGGTTCCCACCTTGTTACAAAGTCTCAGTGGCTTTTTGACCTGGGTAACTTACTTTGACCTTGCCACAATGATTATTCTGCTAGACTGTGATCAGAGGTTCCCACCTTGTTATAACAACAAGAAATATTTCTCCACATTTTGGGTCCATGGGTGCATTATAAGAGTGATAGTCAAATTCTATTATTCAATTAGAATAGCACAGGAGTTGGCAGTGGGGTGGTGTTGACCAGCTTTCGTCTCTCTAGTATGTCACTTCAAAATTAGATATGACTAGTGCAGATAGCCCTTGAGTAGCTTTGCACAAAAATTCAATAAAACAAACAACCTCACTCTGAAATCTAAAAATGTGTTTTTTGATTCTTTAATAGAGCCTTTATTAAATTATAATTAGTCCACACACACACAGACATACAAAAAAAAAGTATACATGGCAAGATTTGAGAAATGTTGTGATAGAATGGATCATCTAAAACTTGAATATGCTCAGAATATTCAGAAATATGTTGAAAAGAATTAAAACATTGTGTTCTATTAGTATTTTTGTTTTTGTAAAACCTACTTAGATAAAATAAGATTCTGTGGAATATCAAAAGGAAAATAAAATGATAAATATTCAAACTAGTAATAAACTTTGCTTAGGCTTTTCCAAGTTGGTATTTTGTTTTTTATTACATATTCCATTTTTTTAAGTAAAAGAACTTTATATAACCATGTTTTACAGTATTTTAATTATTATTTTTTTTGAGGATTTTATGTTAACTATATTGTATTTTATTTGGCTACTTGCCAGACTTTTGGCACCTGGAATGCAATTGAGTCAGCCATAACATACAAATGGTTTACAGTGTCCTTGGCAATATTTTAGAACTTAAATCTACAAATTCACAAGAGTTATCATGCTGAAGATATTGTTAAGATCAGTGGTGTAAACATGTATAGTGTTTAGTTATATTTCTGATTTGTTTTTGTTAACATACTTTCATATCACTTACATTATATTTGCATGCTACTTCTTCATAGGAGTTTTGCGTATAACAAATGTTAAAATACACTTAACATACGAATATAAAAATATATTTTATTTTTAATGTCTCAGGTCAGACTTATGTTCCGACATATCCAGCTGCCAGCAGTGGAGATGTTTCTAGTGGATCATCTGCATATCTAAACTGTTCTCAGACTTGTACTTCTACTGTTGCTCTTTCTCCTTCAGTGTTCACATCCACCTCACAATTAACTTATTCCAGCTATCCTGGCAGTAACTTGGTTTTTACTACTCTCACAGGAACTGCTAGTCAGACCCAGTCCAGTGGCTACATCTCTTCCCTTCCTGTTGTGCATCCTCCAACAGCTAATGTACCAATATATTTTGTGGCCAGTGGTGATAATACTGCACCTTTACCCCAGCCGTCCCAACAGCCTAATAATACAGGCTGTACTCCTTTTCAACCCCAGAACCCTCCATCACAGAATTCTAATCAAGGCCTCTCTGGACAGGTTCCTTCTTTAGGTAGTGTGGCTCCATATATTGGCTACAGTGTTTTTCCCCCATCACAGTCTCAACAGTCTCAACCTACACTAACAGCTGTTAATTCAGGGACACTACCATCTAATCCGTTTCCAACCAGTTTGATGGCTCCTATCCCTATGATTCGGCCAAGCATTCCTTTCATTAATAATGCTCAGAATAACACCACGCCATCTCAAGGCTTGTTTTCATCACCATTTGGATTGGTTCCCTCTAGTAAGGGACCAGTTAAACCAGGCGAGGGAAACTTGACTGAATCTGTTGAAGGTTCAGGTAAGTTTTAAAATAAAAATTTTAAAATGTTACTTAATATAAAATTTTTATCCGAAAAGATGTTTTGTGATTGATTTTTATTTGGAGCTTGTATGTGTATACTTGCATAATATAGCTTTTTTATTCAAACATCAATACATCAAGTAAAATGTATGAAAAAGTGGGACAGTGAGTTAATTGCACTTCTTATTTCCGTCTAGATGCACATTCTTATATTTCCACTTTTGTAATTGGTTTTCAAAGGCTTTATGCAGGTTTCATGCCTTATATACTTGTCAGTAATACCACACTTATAATTTTAGACTCTGAATAAGCACTATAGGTATTTTATGTTTTTATAAGTTGATCTACGTGTACAATACTGCTTGTTTTAGTATTTTAGTTTAAGATTTTTTAAACCTTGTGGGTAAGGTATAGTTTCAATAGGATATTTGAAATGTAGCTAGCAGTGATATATGTGACTTGGTTTTATGGAAGAGCCAAGCTCATTTGTTTCCAAAGTAAAATATTTCACTTATTAGTCTTAGAACTTGTGAGTGAAAATAAAGAATAATGTATAATATGTCAACTACATTATATCTGCTGTGTCCAGTGCTAGCAAAGCCTTTTGTCCATTACTAGGACTCATAAGGCAAACTGGGATACGACAGACATAGCAGTGGTTGAGATGCTATTTATATTATCAAATTGCATGAACAACAACTGTTATGATGTGAACCAGATTAAGTTGGTGAAGTGTAATTTATATAAATTTTTGTTTAAGGCATTTTATAAATCAGAATTTTAGTACTAGAGGTATCCTAGTTTGAGTACATCTAAATTTACCAATATTTTCTGTTGTGTATCCACATTATTGATTGTCTTATTAACACATGATTTGTAGATGTTCGACTTATTGGAACACCACTTCTTCATCAATTTAATCCACTTATGATGTCACAGAATCAACCCCTTCCTAGATTTCCAAATCTGCCACATAGCCAGGGAACTTTGCCCATGAACAATCGACCACCTAAACTCCGAAGACAAAAGAATAGGGGAAGCAACTCTATGAGCAAGACTACATCCATACCAAATGATTCACAGGTGCTTGAGGAAGTAGGAGGTAATTTTTTTTTTCAAACACTATAGGAACATTTGAAAATGAAAAGTGAATTAATTTATAACTTACAAATACTAGTAATTGAAAAGGTTGTTGTCTAAGTGTAGTTATGTATCTTCCAATCACTAAATGAATAGACAATAAAATTTAAAAATATGATTAAGTAACTTGATAACTGGCTCTTTTGACAATATTGTGTAATCTTTTATGCAACTGTCATAACTATTTAAAGTTGTTAGTTTTGGTTTTAATCCCTATCAACCATATACAATTGTTAATTTTACTTTTGATTTCATTTTCTTTTATCAAAGTAAAATGTGATTGAAGATTAATATTAGACATTTTTAGATGGAATCTACTAGCAAAGTTGTAGCTCATATTTTTAATATTACATTCTACATGGATGACTTTTGGAGAACAAATTTTGGAAGCCCTGTTGTTTATCAGATTGGTGGCATATGGATACAGTTTGTTAATAATAGTTATTTTAGTCATTTCAATAAGTAAGTTAAAGATAGCCTCTTATGTATTTCATAATTTATGAATTCTTTGTGGGATGTATATTAATGTTTTTCCATTTGCGTTTTGATGGGAAAAAATATTTCATGGTACATAAATTTTAAAGAACATTGTGAGTACATTAAACTTACTTGAGTAACTTATTTCTCTATTTTTCTTTATATAGGGAATTGTATTTTGGAAGTGGAAGGGCTTCCAGATGGTATGAAACGCAGTGAAGTGGAAAGGTTTCTTGAGCAGGTTGTCAGTCAAGGGGCCAGAATTGATTTTTTGTGCACAAAATTGGGATCTGCTACTCCTGCAGGAAACGATGTTATCTTTAATTCCAAATTTAAAGTGTTGGCAGTATTTGAATCGAGTACAGCAGCTCAGAATGCACTTCTGAATATTAAAACCTCCAAGTTTCAGCTGCGCCCTCCTCGACAACAGAGGAAGGATAGTGTTAAAAATGTAAGCTAAGCTGACTTAATGAAAGGAAGATACATTATTCCAAACAAACTATTTTTGTAATTGAAATAAGATTCCATATTTAACTATGAACATGAGCTGCAGAAAACGATTAATTTTACCATTCTTTAGCTATTAAACAGCTCACCAATCACCGAAAGAAGTAAGAAGAAGACTACTTCCAGTTGCTACATTCTTTTTTTTTTCACTTCACAAACAGAAGCCATAATACCCGTTTAATCTACTGGAATTATTGCTTTGTTTAATTTCTCTTTTCTTATCAGATGGTAATTGTAGTCTTCTGTGATTCCCAGATTTAATGTTGAATCACAAAAGGCTCAATGTTTTTGAGGACTGGTCTTTGTTGTTACACCTTGATTGTGTTTTATCAATTTGGTGTTATAAAGATTACTATTATTATGACACAGTGGTTTGTTGAACCTTTTATAGTAGTATCAGATCCTTTTTTTTTTTTCAAGTTGTTTTGATGCTACCAGCTATTTTTATTTTGTGTTGCTGTCAATTCTTCCAATAAGAGATGGTAGAAAATAAAACCATATTGAATGAACTAGATTGATTTCATTTTTATATTACACTTCTTAATGGTAATAAATAACAAGAATATGAGGTGGGTGGCATTAGTTATTTTCTGGATTATGTAATAAAATAAAAATTTCTTTAATAATGTTTAAAACTTTATCTTCAAAAGGTTTAGGTTATGAGGAAAATCACTTTGTTTAGATCTGCATGTTACAAGACTAAAAACTTTTCAGCCAAATTTCTTTTACAAACAAATGTTATTATATGGCAAAGGAGTAAAAATGATTGATGTTATCACTCTTTATTACTAATTCCATTTAGAAATATGATTTTTTTAATTAAGTAAAATTGAAATTTTAAGATGTTCTTAAAACTACTTTTGGTACTAGATAATATTAAACTTGATGGAGAAAACAAAGTGTTAAATACTTTAGATAAAATTTTTAGAAACCTTATATGTATTTTAAACTTACAAAAAACTTGTATAGATATTTTTTGTATTTACAATTTTTTAAATGATTTAACTGTGTTCAGGAATACTTCAAGCAATATGGATGAAAATGTATGAAGTATGTTGTTTGTTTCACAATAATTTTAAAGATATCTGCAAACGTTACTCAAAGCAAGGCTTATTAGGTTTGCTAGTATAGTATATTTCTCTTTTATGCTAGAAATGCATGAAAAGAGCCCAAAATGTAAATTCTAGGCTTTTTTACTGTATTTTTATGAACAAAGAAATATTGAAGCAGAGAAAAATATAATACATATTTCAGCTCATTTAATATTAATAATACAATTAAAATATGATTACAGATAAAAAGAATAAAGCAAATGTATTTAAACTGATTCAAAATATCAATAATAATAATAAACTTTGGCAGTGATATATTATAAAGTGCAATTTACATACATTTATTTTGCATTAAATATCAGTAGTGAAAATAAAACTGATAGTAGTGATTTAAATTAAATATACTCATTAAATATCATTAATAGTAACAAAAGACTTAATACTGATATAAAGTACAATGTATGTATTTCACATCAGCTGCAATAGCAATAGAAAATATAACTGTTTGCACTGATAAAAATACAGTAAGTCGACTCTCTGTTATCCTGATGTCGTTGAAAACCAGAAGATGTTCAAGTTAATTTTTAGGAATTGTTTAAAATTAAGCAAGCACAATTAATGGACTGCATAGTATTTTGTAAACAAAATTTCTAATAGTCATAGTATTCTGACTCAACAACAACTGACTGATTTCTAAGCTTACATTGAATTTTGAGTAATAGTAGAAAATAAAAAATTATATAGTTTAAAATAAACAAATGGCTAACTTCAGATATTAAACACTGCTTATGTAATTTTTATTAATGTTGAAAAGATTTCCAAGTTAAAATACTTTTTAAGCATGTGACTTGCACATTGTGTAATTTCAAATGATAAAGGTATGAACAAAATGGAAATATACAAAATATAAAACAACATTATGTCAATTTAAATTGAAGTGAACATTAATAGTTGTAGTAATAGATAAAACAGATATTAAATAA